CCCGCCCCCGCCACCAGACGCGAACGACGCGAGCCTCTCGGACCCTCATCAGGGTGGGACTTGTCACTTGACCGGAAAGATTAGCCGACGACCGCGCGGATTTCTCGCAACCAGTCGTGCGGCGCCTTCTGTGCTGCATTCTATGATGCTTCCCGACCTGATCCGCGGCGTCATCGTGCGGTCGCCGCGGAGCCAACTTTGTGTCCGTCCGTCCGTCCGTCCCTGCTGTCCGGGAGCGTGCGCGCCAGCCAGCCGCCTCCCCAGCCCCAGCTCCACGCCACGCCACGCCACGCCACCCGTAGTTAGTCTAAATTATAAATGCGGCGGCGCGCCGCTCTGCGGGGCTAGTGGCGCGTCAAATGTGCAAATTACAGGAGCGTCGCGACGCGCCGAACGACACAATGGCGTCATTTGTGGGCGCCGCGCGCCACGCCGACCGCCACTACCGGGCTCGCCGCACCGGCGCGGCGATTTCGCCGCAAAGCATTTGCCAACGAAAGACGATGATGCTGGACGGGCGTTACTATAAAAAGCGCGTCGCGTAAATTTTACAGAAGACATTTTTACAGGGGTTATACAAACATACCATGACTCTGGGCGCCCAGTCCAAGACAGATTGCGGTTGGTTGGTGGTCGTTCGGGTACCAGCCGTGTTTTATTTTGTCCGAAGTTCAAGAATATTTCTTTTTTCCTTCTCAACCAAGAAGTAGGTCTGCGAGACGTCGCAGAGAAGGCTATACCAAACTTATCACAAACATGAAAGTAATAAAAATATAGCGTAGTTTAAAATGCCACAGCAGCATTCAGCGTGTAGAGAGAGGAACTTAAGTTTGCGGCCGTTACAGAGGTCGGGGGGAGGGGGGCAGGGAGCGGCCTTCGCCCGGACCGTGTTGGCCTCGCTGCGCCTATTTGACTTCGAGTTTGGCGAAGCAGTGTAAGAGAAATAGGGGTGGCAGCGCTCGGAAAAAGTGCCGCCGACTGTTTGCCAGCGCCAACCCCAGCCCCGGCGTGTTTAACTGTCACTCTTTATTGTGGAGTGTTGGGCTTTCGACTTCTTAATACATAAAACAGAACGACGCCAATCTGATTAGCCCGCTGGGAAACAAGGAGCACCGCCTGTTTAGACGGATGATGATGGGGACGGGGACTGTGTGCGTCTCGGGGGCGAACCAAACGAAAATGGGGGCTGATTACAAGCACTGCAGTCTGTCTCACTCCCACTCTCTCCAGGAGGGGCACGGCTGCACCTCTCTCCCCACCCAGCTGCCGGGCGTAGCCTCGCTACACCGACGTGTATCTCCGCGCACATCTCTCTCTTCTCTCTCTCTCTCTCTCTCTCTCTCTCACTCGGCCAGACTCACACACTTACTCTCCCCCCTCTGCCCCTATCTCTCTCGCTCTCCCTTAATCGTGGCTGGTGGGGAGTTAACGACCCCCTAGGCGCTCCTAGCTCCAGCCCGCCCCCGGCTCGACTCTGTTCCACATGGTCTGATCTCACCTTTCTCTCCCCCTCCTTCCTCCTTCCCCTCACCCCACCCACCCCCCGCACACACGCTGGCTGTCTGGGGCCCATGCTCAATGCAAGCCGCGCTCTTTAATGACTTTCGCGCAGCGCCTCTGCGCGCACCCCACCCCACCACGCCAAACAAGGGCCTGCCTCGCCCCGACCGCCCCCGCCAGCCCGCCAGACTGGAGCTAGCGGCTCGAGACATAAAGGAAGACGGAGCGAAGGCAGCGGAGCAGACTCCTAACAATGCGGTTTGGTTTCAATAACCTCTCCGCTCCTCTGCCGTCGCGGGTCGGGCCGGTCACGGGATGCCGCCCTGGTGCCGCCCTGGTGCCGCCCGCCCGCCCGGGGGTAGGCAGACCCGCGGGGCAGGCGCGCGCGGCGGGCTGGCCAGTGCCGCGCCCGCCCGGGCGGCGGACGAGATGCGGACGATTGCCGCCAGCCACAGCGGCTCCGACAGCATTGCAAACAGAAGGGATGATGACACCCTTAAAAGAAATACTCTGGTGAAAGAAAATCAAGTGCCTGGATGTCTAACTCTTGTAAATGTTCTTTTAAGTGAGTTATCATTTTGAGACAGTCCCCAAGACTGTCTCTAACCGGATTTTAACCAAACCTCGGCCAACCTCGCCAATTTGTGGTTCCTCCTATAACAGATGAACATCTGAATACACTTACTGTTACCAACGCGGCTCGGCTGGGCTGTCGCGGTCCGTGGTCGCTCCTCCCCCCTCCCTCCTCCTGCCCCTTACCGCCGCAAGAACGGCGTGTAACCGGGGGCCCCGCTGACCAACCACGGACCGTGATAGCCGTGAAGGTGAGAAAGCACGTGGATTGTTTGGGAAGTGAGATATGTAAAACAAATACCTCAAAGAGAGGATAAAAGTGTTCAGCTCGCGCGAAGTGCGGTTAGCCGCAGAGCAGCCATCGACCTTAGCGAATGTCTGTGTTCGCGTACTTCCACGAGGAAAGCCAGCAGTAGCACAGCACGCCCCTTCGAAGACGGGTAAACTACAAGACGTGCGTCCACATCGGATAGGTGAGTTGTCATTCATAATCACTTAAGAGGATCGTGAAGTCTATAGTGGAAGAGATGAGCGAACAGGCCAGTTCGAATTGGAACGAACTCAAACAAATTTAGTCTAAAAATCTTCGAAAATGTTACGACACGATTCGTGGAAATTTTTCCCGTAAAATCTATAACAATTTTTAACAGTGGCCGCTGAGATGGCGGTCGTCGTGAAGGCCTTACTGGCCTTGCTGTTGCTGGACGCCGCGCTGGCCTCCTCGTTCCTGGACATGGACTCCATCATCCCAGCGGTGGACCCGCAGTGGATCGTGGACCTGGCCGGGGCGCCTCTCACTGGCCTCTTAGCAGCGGTGTCCAGAGACTTCGACCCCCTGCTGGACCTGGATCCGGTGAGCGGCCGGAGGGCGACATCTGTTCCGAGGGGGGCACGAATGAGTAGTTGAGTCGACGACTAAAGCGCCCGCTGATGTGCAGGTAGAGCTCTCGCGGTACTGGGGCTACGACGCGGAGCTGCATCACGTGACCACGGACGACGGCTACATCCTGGGCATCCACCGCGTCAGGAACGTCACGGTCGCGAGCGCGGCCCCGGGTGCGAAGCAGCCCGTCGTCGTCATGGGGCACCCTCTGCTGTCCAGCTCAGCCGAGTATCTCGTCCTCGGCCCCGGCAAGGCGCTAGGTGAGCAAAAGCCTCGGCAAAACCAAATAAGTAACAGTATGGAATCTATGGCACGACAAAAGAAGTTTTCATTCCTTGATATTCCTGAACTTTTCGCAATCCGGAACAGCGTACCTGCTGGCCGATGAGGGCTTCGACGTGTGGTTGCTGAACGTGCGCGGGAACACCTTCTCGCTGAACCACACGACGCTCAGCACGAAGGAGGCTGCCTTCTGGGACTTTTCGTGAGCATTAACTTAGTCGGCTATGCCCGAGTGCGGTTTAATAGTGTGTATGCTGACGGCACGGTGCCCGCCTCAGGTTCCACGAGCACGGCACGCAGGACCTGCCGGCGCTGATCCAGTACGCGATGCAAAAGACGGGCCAGCAGGAGGTGCAGTATGTGGGCTTCTCCATGGGCACCACCATCATGTTCGTCATGGGCGCGGAACGCCCCGACGTGGCCAAGCACGTCAAGCTGTACACCGGATTCGGCCCGGTCGCCGAGGCCAGCCACTCCCGATCTGTTCCCTTCCGCCTCCTGCTCGAGTCCATCCCGGTGTTAGAGGTCGGTCGCTCGTTAACACGTTGAGTGCGTTGTGACCCACATCGTGGGTCACAGCATTATGTCCCACAGGGCGACGTGACCCACACGGTGGGCCCCAATGTATGGCGTTTAGAAAAACCTTCGGCTCCTGGGACATTCTTCTTTTTTTGGCGCCGCACTCAACGTGTTAAGGACCCGCGGGTCCTTCGCCCCAATGTTTTATTGGCCTTCCTCAGAAATGTTGGACAAATCTTGATCGTTGATTCGGTCGCAACAGCTGGCCGGGGCCCCGCTGGGCGTGTACTGGTTCCTGCCGAGCACGCCCGAGCTGCGCGCGACCGGGCAGACCCTCTGCGCCGACAGCGCCCCACTCACCCAGCCCCTGTGCGTGGCCATCATCGCCTCCGTGGGCGGCCGCAACGACAAGCAGACCAACACGGTAAGGACGAGCAGCGTGACCCGGAACAGACTCCGGAGCATGAAGTGGTAAGTACTGTTCAGCATGTAGGCGAGTGGACGCGTTGCGTCAAGGGACGCAAGACGCAAGGGGATAGCCGGTAGCAAAGCCCGAGGGGTCGTCAACTCCCTTCGGCCGTGTACGGAGGAATATATATTACAAGTAATATGTGTAATATCGGTAATATTGATGTAATATTGTGTAATGTCAGTATTATCAAGTAATATCGAGTAATATTATCTAATAGCATGTACTATCAAGTAATATTACGTAATATCAAGTAATATTACGTAATATATCAAGTAATATTTAGTAATATTCACTCTATTAAGTCTATTGTAAAGTGAAAAAAGGGGAGCCGAAATCCATTGGGGTTAGAAGTTTCTCGTTTTGGGTCTCAATACTGCTGGTTTAACTTGAATTTTCATCACAAAAAAATATATTCACTAGTTTATGAGGAAAATGTATACATTTAGGTAAAGACGAAAAACATGGTTTGGGTCAAAAATCCCACATGATGAAGTTTGAGAGATAAAAAGTTCAACTCAAGCTCAAATTGCTCTCAAAGGATGAAAGCACAAACGTATGTGAGGGATTCCTGATATTTTGCATATCAAGCTTTCCCGAAATATTTAAAGTCAAAATTTTAGAAAAAAAGGGGAAAATTTTGACAATTTGAAAAATGTTGCCTTTAAATATTTCTGGAGGGCTTGATATGAAAAATACCAGGAATCCCCCACATACGTTTGTGCTTTCATCCTTTAAGAGCAATTTAAGCTTGAGTTGAACTTTTTATCTCTGAAACTTCATCTTGTGGGATTTTTGACCCAAACCATGTTTTTCGTCTTTACCTATATTTTCCTCATAAACTAGTGAATATATTTTTTTGTGATGAAAATTCAAGTTAAACCAGCAGTATTGAGGCCCTTAAACGAGAAACTTCTAACCCCAATGGTTTTCAAAATCATCGAGGCTGTTGCCATCAAGTCGTCACCGCTGACTCGTGCAGTATCGCAGGTGGTTTCCGCGGCACCACCAGAAACAATTCTGAAGTGTGCTAAGTTGCTCGGCATGTACAATTGATGTGAAGTAATAACGAGTAATATCAAGTAATATCGAGTAATATTGTGTAATATCGGGTAATATTGTGGAATATCGGGTAATATTGTGGAATATCAGGTAATATTATGGAATATCGGGTAATATTGTGGAATATCAAGTAATATGTGTAATATTAGAGTAATATTAGAGTAATATCAGTCCGTGTACGAAGGAATATCGGAGTTGACGACCCCTCGGCAAAGCCCGTCCACACGGCTGCATGCAGTACAATTCTCAAAATTTTACAGAATCGGTGGGCCATCCTTTTTCAAAAATTAAGATAATTGGGTCTCTTTGTAATAGTTGGTATGTGGTTGAATCCAGACGCTGCTGCCGTACATCCTTTCTCGGTTCCCGGCCGGAACGTCGTTCAAAGTTTTGGACCACGGTAGACAGCTCCTCGTACCCGGTATGGTGACGGCAGTTATGTCGTATATTTTATGAGTCCGCCGCCCATGTTGACTGATTCTGTTTTGTTCTGGCGTTCAACTGACTATAGGCTTCCATAAGTACGATTACGGGACAGACCAGAACCTCGCGCGTTACGGTCAGCTGACAGCGCCCAGCTACAACCTGAGCAACATCTTCGTCCCCACCAGGCTATACTACGGGCCGAATGACCTGGTGGCAAGCCCTCAGGTAAGCAGCGGTGTTGGTCAGTTTGACTTGACGACGCATGGAGCGGCGGCGTGGGCACCTGCTGCTGCCTGGCACCGAGTGCTCCTAAATCCTTATAAAGTCGAACTTTTTATCATGAAATTCATTTTAAAAAAATCTCGCTCGCTTCGCTCACGTTCTTCAACGATCAATCAGTCTAGAAATGCTCCTAAAATCAAATCGAATGATCGAAAGACGACCATATGTGGGGCCTGCAGGTGGTGGCTAGAGCTCACGGAAAAAAAAGATTCGTAGTCGCAGCGAATACATTGGCTAATTTGGTGACAGCCAAGAAATTCGCTGTGGCACCTATGAATTAGTTGTCAGAGACAAGATTTAGTTGCCACGGCGAAC